ACATCGATTGTGCGAGAACTGGCGGAATGTGGATCGGAACAGAATCGAGCAAGAACCGCCGGTGGCTTACCAGTTCGCGGTTGTCCTGACGCGGATCGAATAACGCCCGGTTCAACAAACTCGTAGTGCAAAGTGAAACCCTTCGCATTCGTGTTCCTTGTCCCATGAAACCGTAACAACATGGCTGTCGCTCCGTCATGTGACAGGAATGGACCGGGTATTCGTGTCCCACAGTACACGGCCACCGGTTCAACCACCACAGCCGGTTGGATTAGGCTCAGGCGTACACGAAGTTCCTCGTCAATATTTTGCCACTGACGAATCCAACTGGTTGGACCGAGGAGCATGGAAGAAACACGAGCGGACAAAGCCACCAGTGCATCGAATAATGCCTGAGTGACTGGAATGTGAATCTCGACCACTTCAAGAAAATCCTACGACCGGGAGAAAATAAGAGAAGAAAACCAATGAAATTGAACCGAATGAAAATGGACTTTGGATCCATGTTCCCCGTTGCCCCGATCAGTCGTCATCAAGTAATCAACAAGACCATTCAGAGTTTAACCAACCTTAAACATCCAAATGCCTATTTTCTTAATCACTTCAAGTGCAGTTCCAGAGCCAGTCCTATGGCATATATCGTGCGACCTTTGTTTATGCAAATATGGGTGCATTTTTCAACCCTACCTTCATCCCCAATGATCAAAAGTGGGCATTCAATCGATCAGCAAACTGTGCTCCCGATGGTCCTAAGAACACCTAGAAATCGCATCCGAGTGTCACGCGAAACGACTAGGCGTTGTCATCAAAGAGATAAAAACTAGGTGTATAAAAACAACAAAACTTCTAATAATCTTCTGTTGGTTTTTCTTATCTACTAAGGCCGTAACTGGATAGAGGAGTTTCAAGAAGTAAGCTGTCTCCCTCCTCCTGAACATTGCTGCACTCCCCGGAACAGTTTTCAGATTCTCCAAAAAGAAGGGAGAAAAAGAACAACGAAAAGAAAATCCACGTTTTCCATGTCATTATCGATTTAATGTGAAACGTGTTGATATTTCCTGTTTCAAAAATACTGATTTCCAAGTTTATTCACCCGGTTGGGTCCCCCAAAAAGAGCCCAAGTTTTCACTATTTCATTAGACCGTAAGGGGTTGAGGGCAAACTATGGGGA